AAAACATTTTTGCTTAACTTTACAAACAGCGCCCCCTACAGGGCTAGAAAATAAAATGGGCTGCAAATAGTCACCTTAACAGATTCTATCAGCCTAAATGACAGAAGTGCAGGCATCAAATAACAAAGTACAAATACTTTAAACTTCAGTAGAATTATTGGCCATCTATGCTTTACTGCAATAATAATTTTTTAGACAACTTTTTCCTTTCTCCTCCTATTACTTAAAAAACATTGGTCTCAGTTTATGTTTCATTTAACCTCATTTTGATTCTGGCCTGTTGGCATTTAAAAAAAGTTTCATCCACACAATTTCTCTGTGGTTGGACTTGGTGCTGCCCCAACTTGTTGCTCACCACAAACCAAAATAAAGTTTTTCAAGATGATGCAAAGTTAAATTTGACACTGTTACCATTAGTTATAAAACTAAGAAAATGAATTTTAAGGAAGTTATCATCCAGAATGGTAGAAACATGTTCCTTTAAGGGTAGAGCAGTAAAGATTCTGGCATTTCAGTTTTTCCCTGCATTTCTTTTATACTTTATTTTTAAAATGGTACTTCTACACTTTGACTGGAGTAAAAAGAAGTTGATCCTCTAACTTCTACAAAAGTGTTTTTAAACAGCAGGATTTATACGTCTACTGGAGTAATAAATGTTAACACTTTAGACACCGCTGGAGAAATGTCAAAGCCCACTTCAACATGTCCAGCAGGTTCTGTTACAAACTCTATTCACACCGAAATAAAACCACAGCAGATGAAAAGAAAAGCTTTTATTACAAAGTACATGTTAGATTAATAAAGTCATGTGATGTGCTGAGCTCCAGCAGAACCGGTCTATTACACGTCCCGCCTGTGGTGCTGTTCTGGCGTATCGGCGACGGAGGACCCAGCTTCTTCTTTCACACCAACACGTAGCGGACACAGCCCCCGCCTCTGATCTCGCGAAGCCGCTGACAGTGGCGCAGCATGTTGAGGATCCCCTGGAAGCGTTTGTCCACCTTCATCTGGGTGAACTCGCAGATGTCATCCTCCACTATAAAAAACTTTCCTGCAGGATATAAAACAGCAGAAAATTAATCGGTTTCCTTGAACTCGGCTGTCTGAAGCCGGGGCGTACGCTGTTGATTTTTTGTCGTCTTTGGGCCGATTCTCCAGTCGTGGGAGAATTTTTCCAATCGGGCCGACTTCAGCCTGATGGTGCGTGGTGTACGAGGGGCGATCAGCCTCTAACGGCCACCTCCCCATCAGGAATCGTAAGGTCAGGAGAAAATCATGTTTGAAATTCAGTCGGCCGTCGTAAGGTGGTCGTGGGCGGATAGCTCAGTGCACAAAAAAAGGATTCTTGTGCAATGAGCGAAATGTAGTTCTTTCTGTAAAATTAACAGATCGTAGTAGCCACGTTTGCTCAGCCATGTCTTTGTCCAAATACTTCGTCTCCTTTTCTTTTTAGGGCTTTCAGCATAAAATTGCCCAAATTACCAAGGCAGCGCGTTTCACTCTAGTGAGCTTCATATTCCTCTGCTACTGGTTTGGCTTCTGGATAGACGAGTCCGAGTAGCGCCATCTCATCAAGGAGCTGAGTCCCAGCTGGTTTTATACGTACAGCGTGAGCAGGTAGATTGCATTAGAGCTGTGAACTCTGTACAACGAACTTGCAGCGTTTTGTCGTACAGTGTGAGCTGTAGCTGCGTGCAACGATTGAAGATATCCTACTGCATACACCCGGCTTGAACATCAAGGTTTCCAGCAAGCTTTGTATGAGGAGTTTCCTCCCATGGGAGCCAATGGCAGCATACCTTTGGTATCTTTGGTTTCCTGGTCCTTGAAGCGCTGCTGCAGTTTGCGGGTGTGATTATTTAGAGCTCTCATGGGTTGAGCGAGGATCTTGTACTTGGCGGTCAGAGCGGTGTTGACCCTTTGCACCGCCGCGTTGAGCTGCTCATAAGACACACGACCCTTCATGTACCTGAAAACACACAGAAGACTCGTCACATAGAGGCTGGGCTCTGCAGACCCAAACAGGCTCAGGGGCCACTCTCTCCAGGAACGTTTTAATCTGAAATCCTATTTTTCGTTTATGGTAATCATCCGAGGAGATTGAGTGTGACAGGAAAGTCCAGCCTCACTGAGGGATGCCGTTGTACTCCTGAGTGGTGATGTAGTCCATCTCTCTGGCCAAGCTGAGAGCTCTGCTGCGCTTCTTCACCGGTTCCGCTTGGGTCGGCTGAACATCTGCTGCCGTGTTGTCATTGGCTGCTGGTTTGTTTTCCCTGCAAAAGCAAAACAGAGTCAAGCTGCGAGCGTCCGACTACAATGGATCCTCCAGCATGTCTGGAAAACCGACATTTTCTGTTCAGTTTAACATCGGTTCCGTCAGACCAGCATACCAGCATTTATACCTTTAATTTTGTACAAAAAAAAAAATTATAATATTAATTACTTACCTTTAGGTGTTTTTTGAAGCGTATGGCGACCTGACCTTAAATAGTTTTTTGGTCTAAAGGGATGCACACCTGTTGAGGTAGTTTAAAGTCTATTTTTCATACTAAACTAAAGGGATAAACAGGACTAGCATACATGTATGCTTATCTGACGTACTGCACATGCGTATTGACTAGTGTTGCACCGATACCGATACCAGTATTCAGCACTAAAATGGTGGAATCACAGAGTACCAACAAATAGGGCAATGATACCATTTTGAGAGCCAAAAGTTTATTTAACTATAGTAAATGCATGTAAAATAATAGCAAATATAGGAAATAATATGTTGAGACTCCAAAAGACTTTGATTTTGTCATTTTGTATACACAAGTCTAAATGAAAAATGTATTTTGTTTAGAATAGCCCTCTAGACAATTTCATTTCTTAAAGTGCAGCCTTGGTAAGGTCAGCAGCAGTTGTTGTTGAGCTGCTTCTACTGCCTGCAGCTCGCATCTCTTCCTCCGTTCGTTATTTTCTGCTGTTGTTTTGTTGACATCCGTCCGTAGCACTCCGCAGCTTTTTAAGCGGTCAAAAATGTCTGGATTTAAAACATTTTGTGAGCGTAGCTCCAGCAGGCATTGGCGTTCATAGATGCGGGTTTGATGCCTAGTCTGTATCGTTTTAAGCGCCATATTTTGTGAAAATGCCTTGGGAGTTGTCTGAGTGGAGTTGCCGTATGATGACGTAATAAGAAGGGGCGGGGCACCTAGCAGATCTGGTAAACTACAGCTGCACAGATTTAAACACGCAGACGCCGACGGACGGAACCAGAGATTCTGCCAGAACCTTCAGAAAACCAAAGAGAGGAGCTGAGAGAACTGAAGCGGAAATCTCTGCAGGTTCTCCAGGCTCTGGTCATCTAGGACACATCAAGTTTTCACAAACAGGAACTGGCCTCCTTTGGACCTGAGATCGATAGTGTCAGTTAGACACGCAGTATATTCTGGAAAACTAAAAATGAGGCTTATTAAGGAAGAAAGGCAGCTTTGGTTCTGCTGGAGGCCCGCCTCCGGAACGTTATGATCCATGGCTTCTGATGGGTTTAGATCTGTGTGGGAGGAAGCCATTTTGGGCAGATTCTCCCTATAATCAGTTAAATCTAAATTCATTTTTAATTGCCCCAATTAAAAATAGAAAGATTTAATCTTCATCTTCCTGCTGTGCTGGTGGGCAGGAGCCTTAAGGGCCACGAGCTGCTCAGTGTTCGGGTTTTACTGCTGGATCATTACCAGTTAAGGTGTTTATGACTTCAATAGCCCCATTTCCACTACCCTTATGAAACCGCAAAGCACGCCAACCCAGGTAGCTGTTGAGTGTAAATGGCACACACAACTCAACCGAACCGCGCTACCATGGTACTAGTTCATCAATAGGGCTCGGTGCGGTTCAGTTCTGGCTCAGTTGTCATAAGCAGACCGCGTCAGCCTCCGTAATCATTCCTAAAATCCTAGCTTCCCTACCGCACCACACTATTTCCAGTGATGATTCTGCTTAGCAGTGAGATGAACCTCAACATCTGTCGTTTCCTGCATCTGGAAGCCCTGATTAGCCCATCCTTTGTTGTATCCACTTCCCAAAAGCCGACTCCCGACTTCCCCTGACTCTCCGCAAACTTCCTGAATGTTACGTGCGCCACCATGTTGGTTTGATTGTTTCCCTCTAGAGAGCAGTAGTACCGTAGATCCCCACTAGGAGGCAAGGTACCGTGCAAGCATGGCGTAGAAATGGTCGTATGGAAACGAGCTCAGCGTGATGAACTGATCCAAGCTCGGCACGGATCGGTTTTCAGAGGGTGGTGGAAATGGAGGTAATATCTGCTTTTCTGATATTTTTTGTTCAACAAGGATAGATATTTAACACAGTGAGATTTTCTCTAAAATAATTCATCAGACTATCACTGTTGAAGGAAAACATGATGCTAAACTAGATGTTGCTATAGGCTTAAAGTCAGAGGGAAGTAATATTTGAATGTCAAAAATCATTCTGGCTTAAACATGTATATAAATGTACTCTTTATCAGACCATATTGTTCATTAATTTAAAATCTGTTGTTT